GTCTCAGTACAATTATGTAGAGTTTCTCTGTGCAGTTGAGTGGTAAGTTGTTCTAAGTATCTCTCAAATAATTTGCTACAATTTCCTATCATGATGCCAAGAGCTGTGCAGAAGCCGAAACTAGATACTGCAAGTCATGTTTTTGTTCCTCTGGGTGGCTCATTGTGATTTCGACTTCATATTTCAGGCCATTTGACAGATGTAACACATGAGTTCATAAGGTAGACCTTGTGCAATAAACACTGAACGCTGTTTTAAAATATGTGGTTTCTTTGGTCAAACAAAAACTCTCTCTGAAATACTTTCTCCTGTCATCGTTTACTGCAATTTATGCAAAGTGTGAGGAGGAAATAATTAGGGGGACGAAATGACGAAGGGTTTATTACTTCCTGAATGCAGACAGCTCGCATCTATTAGAGCTCCAGCTTGATGACGTATCTGGTGCTGAGCTACGGCCAAATAATGATATGCTCTGCTGGCTGTGAATCTATAACTCTCTATGTAAGCGTACCGTCCCAGGCTCCAAGGCTCAAACCAAAGTCGCTAAATCAAACTCATGTGGATGTAAGATGAGGGAAAGTGATAGAAGTTGAGAGGGAAAGAAAGAGATGGAGACTGAAGCGGAAGGAGCGGGGTTAATAGTCTGTTTCGTAGCCTTTCAGGGAGAGGAATGTGGTGGAGAGGGGACAAATCAACCAGGAGTGACTGCACAAATAAGGTCAGTGTGACCATAAGAGAATCCCAAACTTAAACGCTAGACAAGCACACGCACACATGCACACAAACAAACACATAAAACACAAACAAAGTCAGTGATTGAGTGAAGGCATAAGCCCATGCCCACCCCGTGAGTGGCTAATAACCGTGGCAGAGAGCCAAACCCACTGTCTCCTGACTAACTCCCACATGCCCGCCCGGACTGGCGCCACGCTGCAGAACAGAGGTCTGCTTTTCGAAAATCCTGTGATCAGTGCATTACTGAGTTACTCAAACAGATAAGTGAACACAGGCCATGCAGCACTCCTGCCACTCAAAAAAAAAAACAAAAAAAAAAACAAATCTGTAAAAGACAACAGGGACGCTGTTAATTAATATCTGCTCGTCAGGGCTGCGGCTAAAACTTGTCACGAAAAGGTGCACACCTACGCGCATGCTCTGCTAGCTTGGAAAAAGAGGGCAGCAAGGTTATGCTGAGCCAAGTGTGGTGATGCCAAGAGGCTCAGTATGTTCTTCAGCGGCATTTTAATCACTCTCTCTCACACACACAAAAAAAACAGGCTCCTCCATCTGCTGCGCTTCAGAAAGCCGACGCAGGCACGTCACTGTCACCAGAGGCTAACCCGCCCTTCCTCACTTTCCCACTGATGGGGACAAAAGGAAAGATGAGAAAGAAGGGAGCTGAGGAGGGGGATCCAGCAGAGGGATTCCACACTATGCGTCTTCAGTCATCCTTTAGTCTTATCCCAAAAAAAGTCCACTTCCCTGCATTCACAGTCCATGGACATTGAGCCCATTTTTCAATTAACCCACTTGCTGCTCTGAGCTAAATCCAACAGACAAAATAAGTTTTACATGTGCACTGCATGTTTTCTGGAGCAATTTCCAAGCTTCTCCTCTTTTTAAACATTTTTACCAAAACTCCTAAATCAACAGAGACCACCCCTCATCCCAGGCGTGGAATGCCAAACATTATGAAACCTTCTCAGCCTGCCTCAGGCTTCAGCCGTACCCTTTCTTCAGCGGTTTTCCAGGCTCCCGCAGAGGATAATTGCAATTGTATCGAACTGGCCAGCGTCCAAGTGATTAACATTGCCAAGTCTGCCAAGTCCAGCTGTGCTACAACAATCAAAACACACACTCAGGACAATCACATCATGGCCATGTGTGATTTCTCTGCCAGCCCACACTTACCACACATACCAAAAACATTGATATGTCTAAATGTGAGGATGAAGCTATACGTGTAAAGGAACATAAACAACTTCAGAATATTACAGTTTTCCTAAGCATATTTTTTTTTACACTGTACCCGGGACGGCGATTTTATTTGTACCTTTCTTCTGTCCAATTGTTTGGCCTAAAGTTTACAAATTGTTGGACATATTCCTCTGAGATTTTGGTCTATATTCAAATGACAGCATCATGCATTAACATCAGATTTGTTTGTGGCATGATCCTTTACTCGGGCCTCCTGTTCAACAATAAGCGAACGGTGCACAATTTAATTCTGACCTGTGGGCCACTGCAGAGCAGTGAGTTCATTGTCATATTCAATAAATCAGTGGTCCTGCTGTCATTTGCACAACTATATCGCTCATTCGGAAACAACCAATCAGAGCGAGGGGGAGGGTCTTAGCTCTGTCAATCAACATGGTATATGCACTGCTCACAACCTCCCACTTTCTGCTATGCAACAGTTTCTTCCTGTTCGTAGAGCCTAACTGCTCAAGCCAGTTAGCCTGGCCAGCATGACAACAGATAAACAATTTTACTGGAACAGGAAGTTGTTTCTCTGCCATTAGTTCATGCAGCAGCGTGAGGATGATTGACAGCGCTAAGGCACTCCTCTGATTGGTTGGTTTATGTTTGGGAGCAGTGCATGTCTTGAAATGAGAATTGTGGCACGAGGAAGTGGTGGAGGAGCTCGATGTTTTAACAGATTACTTGCTTTTATTATTACCATCACGAGTCACGACACGACGACAGCTTTAACAAATTTGTAAAATTTACATGCTGCACCTTTAACGAAGTGAGTCACTAGCCATTTTGGCTAATGCACTATCTATTTTAAATCATTTATAGGTAAGTAATTAACTGCTGAATAAATGTGTGGCTGGTAACAACAAGGTTTACTTCACTGTGAATAAAATGTGCAGGGATGGGATTTTGGTTTAAACCTTCTGAAGTGATGTTCAGAAAATCTGTTTGCTGCGGCTCCATCGTGCAAACTCTCACAAATTACTGTGACATGTCAGATCATTGAAACCAACTTTGTTTCAGTAAAAAAAAAAAAAAAAACGTACATGACATGGTAAGCAACAGACGTATATTTTCTATCGATTCTGTGCTCACAGACTAAATCATACAAACTATGCCTCTTGGATTCTTTACCTCACTATTCCACTTCGTGCAAACACCACAGTCATGCGTTATGCCATGTTTCTCGCCTGAGCGGGGGAAATGGTCCGTGTCATGTCGGTGGGAGCTGCAGCGAAACACTCATGATGGAGAACACTTAAATAACTCATGAAAACCCCATTTCAAACCTGCAATGAACCACTGAGAGGATCGTTCAGTGTTACACTGATGTGTCTGTTTATTGTGGGGTGGCCCCTTTGTCATGACTGTTTAATCAAGCACCTTGTGGTTGTGCAAGAGTGTCCCTATGTGTGTGTGGGTGTGCGCGTGTCTGCGTGTGTGTCAGTACATGTGAGGGATCCGTTGAAAAGAGAGCTTGAGATGAGTTTCTTTAAAGGACAGGGGGGCCCTCTTGGCTAAACAGAAATAGCCCTAGAGAAAAGGCAAAATGAGGCCTGAGCATGAGAGCGATGAGCAAAAGAGTTGAGGCAGCAAAGTGAAAAGCAAACGGTGGAGAGAATAAATTTTAAACTTCACACAAAAGAGAGAGACAAAGAGGAAGCGACCAAGAGTCATCCAGCAACACTGATACGAGGAGACAGACATCGCACTTTTCACTCTTAAAATACTCGGCACAGAAAGACTCCTTTATGCACACGTGTATGAAGTACAAAGTCGCATGTTTGTAGCCAAGAAGTTGGGAATAACTTCACAAAAAGGTTCACATTACCTCAATCAGATATACATTTTAAATAAAGCATTGCTAACAGTTTAACCTGTAATCTTTTCCTGATCTTTAACGTTTCGTTGATCAAAAGCAGAGCTAGATTGGATGTGTTGCCTTTTGTTTTTTTCAGTATGTGTTGTGGTCGGTTTTGCAGATTTGAATAAGTAATAATTTAGAGCAGTTGCTGCTTAACAATGCAGTCAAAGGCTGGCTAAACAAGCAGGAGCACCAGATATTTGCAAAGCAAACGAGAGGCAAATCCCTACTGTCTCATCCTGAGTCAGAGTGTAGATAGAATATGTGTCGATGTGTTGAGTTAACATAGTTTGTTTGAGGAAGTGGCAGATATTGTGGAACTATATAGAGGTGATGGAGCGTGGTTAAACGATGCATACAGATGACACGTCAGCACACATCTAGGAGACACAGCCTCAAAACTATTATTTGTGACTTTTTGAGTTGCTTCATCTCTCTGGAGACTCGCAATTTCTTGAGCTTCCACGCAGCTGGGTCAGAAAAGTGACTGTGTGTGTGTGTGTGTGTGTGTGTGTGTGTGTGTGTGTGTGTGTGGGTGTGTGTGTGTGTGTGTGTGTGTGTGTGTGTGGGGGTGGGGGTGGGTGTGTGCGTGTGTGACTCATTGTAGTAGTTAAAACTAAACATCCTCTGCATGTTCTGCAAAGAGGTCTGTTTTAAAGTCATGGCAACAAAATACAAACAGGTTCCAACAACACAGCATTAAACACTTAAAGTGAGAACATGCTGCTTCTGGCTGGTAAAAAAGCAAATGTTAATGTATCTGTTGTGGGCAGTTGATCTTAGATGATCTCACTGGTATGCAGTGAGGGAAGCAAAATGAATGGATAGCATGCAAACTAGCAGATTCTACAATTCTGTCTACTACTACTCTGCTTGAATAATTAGTAAAATCTCACAGGCCATCTCCTCAAACTGAGGTTTCTGCAGAAAAGAAGCTGCAGCTCTTTTGGTGTTCTCATTTCAAAATCAGGACTGAACAACGATAAGTCACCACTTAAAATAACTTCCTCTGATAGGCTGTGCAAATCTCAACACTGAGTGGTAAAGTTTTTAATTCATTTTGCAAAAACATAACACAAAACAGACCAAACATACAGTTCAGGTAAAAGGAGAAATGAATGAGGTCAAATTTGAGGCCATTTGTGCCTTTAGCACTTACTGGGAAGTGGAGCGTCTCCTCTCTCTGGTGCTAAGGTCACAGGGCATGAAGGCGTGTGATCCCGTGCAGGTCGTGAAGACACAGAGTCTGTCTCTTTAGTGGCTCCAGTGCTACTTGAAACCAAAGCACTGGCCTGAAAAAATATGAAAATAAAGAAACATAATTAGAGGTCATTTTGAGCAAAAACTAAACCTGTTTACACAAAATATCAATTGCTAAGTCTTACATCCAAACTTTGTTTTTAGCCACATTAATGAAAGTGTGATCTGTGGCCACAAATTCAGCTTTTTTGCGGCACTGAGTTATTTTGTCTCTTTTGTCGCACAAAAATGTGTCAGATCATCAACCAAATATATCCTAAATAAATGCAGTTTTTAAATATAATAATTAATGTAATAAAAAGTTATCCAAACTAACCTGACCCAAATTTAAAAAGGCACTAAACCTATTAAGTGGAACTAATTGTTAATACGTCTTTCACATTGCGGTGAAGGAATTTCGATCCACTCTTATTTTGCAAATCGGTTTTAATTCAGTCACATTGACAGAGCTTTTGAGATCATACTATGGCATTTCAATCAGATTTCAGTCCAGACTTTGACTAGGTCACTTTAAAACTTTCAAAAAGTTTCAGAATATTTTCTAAACTAAAGTTTATCAAGATGATTTTAAGGCAAAAATAAATATGGACCTTTGTGTTCTTTTCAGTCTGAATCTCTCCATTCTCTGCCATTTTGCCCATTTTCCTTTTTCTTGTTGAATTATAAATGCCAACCCCAGTTGAGGCAGGTGAGGTCTGCAGTGCTTTAGTTGTTACTCTGGGTTGTTCGGTGGCCTCCTGTGTTCTTTGAGTAATTCTGGTAGGCTGGCCACTCCTGGCAAGGTTCAGCTGTTCCACGTTGTCTTCATTTGAGGAAAATGACTCTCGCAGTGGTTTGCTGGAGCCTAAAAGCCTGAAAAATTACTCTGAAACCCTTTTTTGACTAATGGATGTCAATTTAGGCCTTGGTGTTGCTGTGAGACTGAAGCAAAAAATCTGGACAATCAGAGTCATTTCATGATTATATTATTATATTTATAGAATATTATAATTTTCACATAAATGTGGGTTAGTTTGGATGGCTGTTTAGTTTAATAAATGAAATCATCACAGCTTTTTGTCTATGGCATTAAACTGTGCCACATGTAAGTGTGACAAAATCAATATGTAACGGGACAAATGATTTTCACGGCTTTGTAAATGGACAAAAATTGAGCATAAATTACCTGAGAGGCCAGAAAGTAATGCAACCTATCAGCAGTGCTGAAATAAATTAGTTCAAAATGCAAACCCTTCACTAAATAACCCAATTGGGATTCAGTGATTTTCAAGCATTATTGGGGCTGAAAAAGCAAAGCCAGCGAAAAAGGGAAGAAAAATTAAAATCTCTCACCATAAATAGAGCCTGATGTTGCAAATATAGCCATTAATTGCAGATTTGTTTTGTCAGCGGTGCAACCATTTTTAGCTCCTGTCAGAGCACTCTGATTCCTGCTATAAAAAGACAACAACTGAAGGGGGATGCAGCTCCAGGTGAAAAAGTGCCCCTTCCCTGAAGTGACAGAGCTGCAAAGCAGTCAGACAGACAGAATCAAAGATGGAGAGAGACACCGAGAGAATGGCTTCGCCTGACAGAACCAGTCGTTTTGGATGTGCTCTTCTCCACTACGCTCCACAACAGAAAGAGGGAAGCGCGATGAGATTTCACGACAGAGACAAGCTGACCATGAAAAGCAGAGAAAAAAAGCAGAGGGTGGCTGTCAAGATGGAAAGAGAGGAGTGGGGTAGATAAAAAAAAAAGAGAATACTCTGTGATGGTTCCCTCCACTGACGATCAGCAGAGAGACAGGCAGGGGAGGTGCATCATATCTTACGACAAAAAGGCACCCTGGGCTTATGAAATATACATAGCTTTCAGCAAGAGCTACAGACACTGTACTACAGAGCAGAGGAGAGCCCTGAAGACAGACAAGGCTCTGCTACCTCTCCTCAACACACTCTGCTAAAAATAAAACACACGCGTGTAAATTTCCAATTTACTCCTCCTGAAGAGTGGAGGGATGTGATCATATGTTTGCAGGTGTTTGTGAAAATCAAGGTATATGAACGCTTCTTCCTCCAGTTACAGAGTGGGCAAAACCCACAACCGTAACTATGACACACAAAAAAACCACAAGTATTTTGGCTGTTGGCCTGTATGTAAATCCACCAACTGGTCATGAGAATTTCTTTCTTTTTTTTTTCTATTCTGTCTCAACGGCCTCTTTCAGACCTCCCCACCTGCCCTCTCTTCAAGCCCAGACAGCTGCTTTCCAGCAGCACCAGCAGTTAAAAAGCATTTAAAGAGACCTCACTTAACAGTAAACTCAGCCTTTTGTACAAGGTAATGATCCGCCTCTCCTACGCACTATAATTGCTGTGTCACACAGTTATTGGGTTCTTGTGTGACTAAGAGTTACTAGGAAGACAGTGGCAGGGTGCACTCCCTCTTTCACATTATTGAATTTCATTGTTTATCTTCCTCACCTGACAAGTTGGGTGTGCCTCTTCAGTTTACATCCTCATGTGTGAAAAAAAAAACAACAAAGCCTTTCGAGCAAATAATCATGTCTGAGCCAGGGGATTAACTATACTCTAAGAAAAATAATCAACAAACCTGATTGCAAGTTTTCGTCTGCTCTTTCAAGCACTTATTTTTATTTTCTTTATGAACATTAGTGCCGAATGAGTGACTTAAATTCTTAGGGTAGCGATTCAAAAGTGAAACTAACATGGTTTCTAAACAGCAGTTCAGGCACAGGCACAAAACGTATCCACAAATCATCAGAACAGATGGTGGAGAGTAACATATTTGAGATTTGAAAGCATACATATTGCCTAATGCATCACATGACTCGTAGGGATCCAAACTATTTAGCAGTGGCAGAACATGTCAGCCCTGTATGGAGTTGTTAAAGTGCTAAAGTGATATTCAGACACCTGTTGAGTACGAAAGAAAATGAGAATCACAACAGATGCTTTGCCAGCAACACAGTAGTTACTTGAGCTAAATGTTAATGTAAGCATGCTAATTTGCTAATTAGCAGGTGATTCTGCACACAGGCATCAATTAAGAGAATTCACAGGAAATACCTCAGTTTTTTTTTTATCACATTTGCACAAGGAATTAACTAAACAGTCTGTAGTTCAGTAAAAGATTTTAAAAAGTTTAAATTCCCCCTTCTCACTCTTGCATTTACATCTACATGTGGCCAATAATTCAAATTCTTTCCATCTCTTCCGAAGCATAATTACTCCATGCCTATATTACACATGTATGTAGCAACCACTAAGTAGTGGTTGCTACATAGATACTGGAAAATCAACCATACTGGCACAAAAAAAAAACAAAGAACCACTAAGTAGTGGTTGCTAAAAGAAAACACAATTCTGTGTGTCACCAAAAGGTCATAAAGTCAATAATTGGACTTTAGCAGTTGATATTTTATCACATTCTAAAATAATTGTTTGTCCTGTTCTGTCTGAACTCAAATGAAAGATTAACATTAAATCTTCATTTTACTGGCACAAAATTATTAGGATGTGAAGTAAAATTACAACAACCACTTTAACAAAAGCATTGGCATTGTATTAAACCAAAAATTAATTTAGGAATTAATTTTAGCAGCTGTTCATTACAAAAGCTGAATTCTGACCTCAGGCTTTTAGCCTATTGGCCAATTCAGCATTTGCCTGAATCTCCACTACATCAGAATGCAGCTTTGTAAATCTTTGCAAATGTTTAATTTGCATTAAATGCAAATGTTTAATTAACTTAAGATCCTCTGTTCATAACTAAGATGTGTCATGTCAGGATGTGACAAAGCTTAATATTAGAACCCCAATACAGATGGGTAGAATGACTATAAGTATTGTTTTATCTTCTGCACAGAGTAAATAAAGTAACGCCATATTATTACATTATTAATATACTGTATTACTGCCCATTCTGATAAATGCCCTCTCAATAGACCAGTAATAGACCAGGGACATTTAAGATGCAGAGCAGGAGTCATGAGGTGAAATGAGAAAGATCTACAGAGGTAGTACTAATTGAGGTTAATTCCACAGTTCAGCATTATCTTCTCTAATCGCGAAGGAGGAAGCTGGTAATGGATGAATCTGCACTACATGGAGGGAGCCTGCCAGCAGGAATTAAAAGCAGTGTGGAGTATTTTGTGTGTCCTTAAAGATCACGAGACATTAGCAGCTGAGTGCCAACCTTGATAGGAATATACAAACATCAAGACAGCCTGCAGGTTTCACCAGTAATATGTATGTGGTTCTGTTTTTTTATTTTTTTTTTGTTTGTTTTTGTCTTCTATATCGTTTCTTATTTCAGTCAAGGAACTCACAGCTTCCTTTAACCAACATTTCATCTGTCAGCTGCATGAAACGGCGTTGACACCATCTTGCTCACACAAACTAGGTTTTTGACTCGGTGCCACCTCAGAGGAATGATGGAGCATCATTCATAAGCACATCATTCAAAACGGCATGCACCTCGAGAGAATTACTTTTTCTCCTCTGATTCTTCTGACCTAAAGCTTTCAGGTCCACGCCGGTCAATACTTCCACGGCACCTGCAGGTCAGCACCTGCCAGATTCATTAAGGAGGAGGCCAGGATCAAGCGCTACATCAATAAGAAGAGGTGGGGATGAACATTTGTGCGTGTGTCTCCGCTTTTATAACATGATGTAACGTAGTCTTGGGGGTACACTTCCTGTTTGCATGGGGGCCATGTTATAGCTTCTGCTCTGTGTGTATGTGTGAGTGTGTCACCAGGGAGCAGCGCCATCCATAAACACTGCTGACAGGCCAGACAGGAAATACACTTGAGGATGTCGATAAGTTAGTCAGCAGGAGTGAGGAGAGATCGATACGACCCCGGCATGATGTCACTGCCTGAAGATGAGATCACTTCAAGATCTACGTTTAAAGACTTTTGATTCACCGTATTTTCACATGCTGTTCAATATTTTTGTTTGATGGGAAAAGAAATGATGAAAAGTGATAAAACTCTTTATGAAGATCTCCTTTTGTATCGTCATAA